TCTCTCTCTCTCTCTCTCTCTCTCTCTTTCTCTTTCTTTCTCTCTCTTTTCTCTCTCTCTTTCTCTCTCTCTTTCTCCCCCTCTGCTTTCTCCTCTCTTTCCTTCTCTCTCACTCTCCCTCTAACACTCGTTGTGTCTCACTCTCTCTCTCGCTAATGCTCTCTCCTTCTCCCTCTTTTCGCGCAGGATATGTATATGTATATATTCATGCATATTAATTGAGTCTACACAATCTAATGTTTACAATAAAAGACTTAAATTTATTGTTGAATTCTCGTACATCCTTTCGACCTCCATACATCCCCAGGAACTTGATAGTTATTTAAAGCGAATGTATGCATTATGTTATTAATAGGGTCGTTCACCTGTGGTCCATACAGACAGGTAAATTTATAGTGATTAATAGGGTTGAAGGTATGCATATTTTGGGGTTGATTAAAGTGATTACTAGTTATTAACTAATTATCATTTCTTATTATTTTATTTATTTATATACTTTTTTATTATTATTTTTTTATGGAGAAGTAAATGTATCTCTTTGTTAGTTCTTAGTCAATATCTTACCAGGCTGGCAGATAAACAAATAAAGAGATAGATAAATGGATAGAGAGATTAGTAAATGAGTAGATAGATAGATACGTGGATACATAAATTGATAGATAGATAGATAGGTAGATAGAAAAAATGACCAGCTAAATGATAAGCATATTGGTGAACGGGTAGATAGACAAACAGGCATGCAGATAGATAGATGGTTAGGTAGATAGACATATTAGATCGATCAATTGATAGATAGATGCATGGGCAGACAGGAAAAATAGAGAGGTGAGCAGACATAGATCGACAGAGAAAGAGATAGAGACTAATAAAGAATTCATATCATTTTATTTAAAATTTAAGGAGGATCAAAGACAGATCAGGACGAAAATAGAAAATGGAAAAGATTATTAAAAACTAGATTAAAAAAAAATACATACTTGTTAATTTGTTTAGCATAAAACAGTATCTGTCTTATTCATTATTATTATATTTTATCATAGGATTAGCAACTCTTTTTTCACTTTTACAAACGTATATTTTCCCGAAGCCTCATGTCTATCTGTGATATTAATATTGATACCACTGATTTGTTTTTGGTATCGGGAGATATACATTTTACATTATCATCATCATTGCTCTAATCATCTCTTTTTAATTACCGTCATCCTGATAATCATCGTTCATTCATGGATATAATTAATTCTGTTACATTATTACGTTTCGTTTTAGTTAGCATTTTTAATTCGCTATTTTGCTTTAATTTTTTTATTGAGTCAAAGATGTCTTGGTGAGAGGAATGTGTACAGATGATGATGATGCTATTGTAAGTTAATCATAATTAATAAGTTATCAGTCTTTTAATTATACAGAAGTCATCATAATTACAGTATTATCTTCACAACCCTATTAGCAAGTGTCAGTCATCACCAGCAGGAAAGGAGCATCTTCGTCATCTAAGCAAAAAATAAATTATCCCAAGAAATGCGTCTTGCAGTCAGTGACAAAGAAATAATTAATGAAGGAGCAATTAAGCAAGATAACAAAGGACGAAGCCAACGAAGTAAACCAAGAAAACAATTCTAATAACAACAAACACGGAAGCAAAAAAAGTTAATGAAGAAAGGCAAAATTTAAGTAGATTCGTGTGTTCAAGTGGCGCATTGAGACATCGTTATGCGCAGCTGATAAACTTGTGTGACAGCGCCTCTTAGCCTCTCTGGCAGTGTTACAGACGGGAAACTCGGCCTCCCCCACAAACCCATGCGGGAACTTAGAGATATACACGTAATCGAAGATAGGAATATTATACATTTTTTTTTTATTAGAAAAACATGGAATGAGAAGCAACAATCATAAATTTTGGGTTTTAATATATAGATAAAGTGATTGACATAGATATATATAGACCTACAGGGCAGGTAAAATGACACGCTGATCAAGAAACTCATACGAAACACAGCTTTTTAATCACGTATTCGGTCTCCCTGCACAAGGGCTTCGCTTTACTCCTGAAGTGCCACGCCTGGGATTTCGCGCGCCACTAATTACTCGTCTTTCCTGGAAGGAGCGGAGGATTCGAGGTTCAGGTAACGGGCGCTTTTTGGATTGTGAAAGAGCAGCCGTGTGGTCGGTCTATCTGTGTGAACGCACGCCAGAGATACACATAGAGATATGTATACATGCATATGGGGACGGAAGCGGACACATTAAACATAACAGAAACATATATACAAACACATACGTCACACCACATCACTCTACGCAAAAAGCACACACAAACGTGAAAACAAAACACACACCACACACACACACACAACACACAACACACACACACACACACACCCACCACACACACACACACACACACACATCACAAACACACACACACAAAACACACAAATAAACCTAAAATCCAAAGACGTAACGTACCTCCCGCGTCAACCCCCCTCCCCCTCCCCCGTCCCCGTCCCCTTCCCCCCCTTTCTGAAAACATCGCATGTGTGACGGCAAGCACAGTGTCCATTAGACTGATTCAACACTCTCTCTCTCTCTCTCTCTCTATCTCTCTCTCTCTCTACTCTCCTCCCTCTATCCTCTCTCTCTCTCTATCTCTCTCTCTCTCTCTCTCTCTCCTTATCTCTAAAGCCATAGTGGTACACATTGGTTCAGGACGGATATTTAATCTATTTGACGAGAGATTATCCGTTCGCCCCCACGGTCTAATGTTTTGGGGCCGTTTGTTGTGAGGAGGACGGCTCCAGAAGGCCGATTCCGAATGGAGGGAGGCGTGCGGCGGCATTTCGATCCGGAATTTTGGGGGACGGAACGAGGAAGGGCGCGCTTTCGGGAGGCGGGTGTTG